GAAAATTAGGTACCACCTTAAAGTGTGGGGAGGCTAAATTAACTGATTTATGAGGCCATAAAGAAGACTCCAACAAAGCATTCCAGTGGGGAAGCATGCGGGGAATGCGGAAGTGCTTCATCAGCGTCGCAGATGGACGATGAAAGCGACAGCTCCCCTGGCGGCCAGAAAAAAAGTTAAATAGCCTCTGTGTATGTCTGTATGTCAAAACTTGGCATTGAATGTTTGCCATATATGTGTACACTGTAATCCGCCCTGAGTCCCCTGCAGGGTAAGAAGGGCGGAATATAAAAGCTGTAAATAAATAAATAGGGGGCCTGAGATTGGAGTAGACTGGATTGTGTATACATACGGATACTGCATATTTCCAGAAAAATATTATTGTACTGTGTCTAGTGTACTTTATACATTTTAAAAGACTATAGTAATTAATCTAGGTTATAATAACATTATAGTATAGCATTTTAACTTTGTCACCCAGAATGCTATTTAATTAATGTTACATGAAGTTAACACAATTGCTTGTCGGACTTTAATAACTCTGCCTCTGCTACCCACAGGAGTGGCAAGATGTTATGTAAAACATATTTCCATCTTTGTTCTGAATCTTTTCCATCCCACATCTGGGAGAGGCCAAGCATTGCCTGCAGGTTTATATTCAACTATTAAGGTCTAAAAATGTGATTTCCCGCCTCTTGTAATTTACACAGAGCAGATAATCCCTTTATTCTCATACTAATATAATATTCTCCAGATGTTCTGAAGTCACAGAACTTGAGACTAAATTCAATATGATGAAAGAGATGTTTGGCAAATTTTCATTAATTTCATTTTAATGTCAAGACGGGGCAGCTCCGTATAGAGGTAACACAGAGGAAGTCAAACTTTTTTCTTTAGGCTATTTGTCGAATCATGTGCCAACCCAAATCAGTCTACACTATCTACAACAGTGGCCACATATGTGCCATAGTTAGACCCTAGGGCTAAACAAAAAGTTGCGACTTGAGTGAGAATCAATGTGGTTAAATCACTGCGAGTGTTGAACTGGGTCCCCAGGTGTTTTGGCCTACAACTCCCAGAAATCCCAGACAGTTTACCAGCTGTTAGGATTTCTGGGAGTTGAAGGCCAAAACATCTGGGGACCCACAGGTTGAGAACCACTGAACTAGACTAAGACAGCCACCTTCAAAACGCCCCTATCTGATTCTTATTCCGATGACACAAGAAAACAGAATCAACAGAATTCATAATAATGCATACTATCCACTCATGCTGTGAGCAGCCACGGCTAAATGAACAACATATCCTTCCTTCCTGGCTTGTGATATTAAGACTCTTTGGGACTTATTTATTTATTTATTTATTTACTGTATTTGTATACCGCCTTCTCAGCCAATTGGCGACTCAAGGCGGTTTCCAACAAATCAGTATACATAAAACATAATAGATAAAAAAAACAACAGTATAAGACAGGGGTCCTCAAACTAAGGCCCGGGGGCCGAATATGGCCCTCCAAGATCATTTACCCAACCCTCACTCAGGGTCAACCTAAGTCTGAAACAACTTGAAAGCACACAACAACAACAACAACAACAACAATCCTATCTCATCAGCCAAAAGCAGGCCCACACTTCCCATTTAAATACTAATAAGTTTATATTTGTTAAAATCATTCTTCATTTTAATTACTGTATTGTTTTTCAGTGTTTTTGCACTACAAATAAGATATTTGCAGTGTGCATAGAAAATTCATTCATTTTTTTTCCCAGAATTATAATCCGGCCCTCCAACAGTTTGAGGGACTGTAACCTGGCCCTCTGTTTAAAAAGTTTGAGGACCCTTGCTTTAGAGCATGCGAACATACATTGTAGCATCACATTCACCACAAAAACAATAAAAGCAACATCATCAGCGTCTCATTATACTCAAGCATTTCAGGGTTAGTATTCTAACCCTAAAAGTCAGGGAAATAATTTTATTTTGGGTTTATTTCTCTGGCTTTTCAGGAAGTACCAGGTCTTGCCAAATTTGGATGTCACAGTAAGGAAATCACAGATGAAAGATCATTGGGTTTCTTTAACATCTTCTTACTTGGTCAGGGTGCAGCAAGACATTTCTAGTGAATGACAAAGGTTCTCATGAACTTTGGCTTATAATTTTGACATCTAAACTATGTCACTGTCTTTCAGCGCAATGAGTTAGAGCCTTGTGACGGCAGGACTGCTGACCGAAAGGTCAGTGGTTCAAATCCAGGGAGCAGGTTGAGCTCTCCTCTGTCAGCTCCAGTTTCTCATGCAAGGACATGAGAGAAGCCTCCCACAGGTTGGTAAAACATCTGGGCAATGTCCTTGCAGACAGCCAATTCTCTGACACCAGAAGCCACTTGCAGTTTCTGAAGTAACTTCTGACACACACACACACAATAAGAATAAAATGAGGAGGAAGGAAGAGAAAACCATGCGTCTTCTCTGAAATGCCTTGGAGGAAATTTATTTATTTATTTTAATTGTAGTATTTGTATACCACCCTTCTCAACCTTGAAGGGGACTCAGGGTGGTTCACTGTGTTGGCAACAATTCAATGCCATCGATAAAAAAGTATAAGATTAGATATAAATACAATAAAAGATAAGATATGCAATAAAAGGGGGAAAAAATACCTCTACATTCCTTCCCAAAAAGACCACCCTTTTCAGTTAATTTTTCAATAGGAAGTGGTGAAAAGCCTCCACAGAATAACAAACCAGCAACATATTTCTAATGAATATGGATAGTGCAAGGAATGGTTAGGAAAATAAGGTGAAAGTTGGGTTGTTGTAGGTTTTTTCGAGCTATATGGCCATGTTCTAGAGGCATTCCCTCCTGACGTTTCGACTGCATCTACAGCAAGCATCCTCTGAGGTTGTCAAACCTCACTACCTCTGAGGTTGCTTGCCATAGATGCAGGCGAAAGGTCAGGAGAGAATGCCTCTAGAACATGGCCCTATGGCCCGAAAAAAACCTACAACAACCCAGTGATTCCAGCCATGAAAGCCTTCAACAATACAAGGTGAAAGTTCCTGTTTATGTCTGTCATGAACTCATGACACAGCTACTATCAACAGGGCGGTGAGGGTAGCGTTATATAAATCTTTCAAGCAGGTTAACACAATATCCATTCTAAGAGGCTCATTGTACTCATTGAAATCCAGCATACAGATCTCGTTTGCTGTGACATACTGTGTTTTTGTGTCAGGAAAATAATAATAATAATAATAATAATAATAATAATAATAATAATAGAGAGCATTCCCTCTGGAACTAGTTCTCAACACAAAACAATGCTCGTATGTCAAAGCGACAGCAAGCTTAGTGACACTCTTACTAAGTCAACATGGACACCGAAATACAACACCTCCTGAGCTCTGCAAGCACAGCATTTTCCCAAATGAAGCAGAGAGTGTTTGAGGACCAGAATATCTGTAGGGATACCAAGGTGCTTGTTCATAAAGCTATTGTCCTCCCAACCCTGCTATATGCCTGCAAAACGTGGACTGTCTACAGATGTCACATGCAACTCCTGGAACGATTCCATCAGCGCTGCCTCCGGAAAATCCTGCAAATCTCTTGGGAAGACAGGCGGACAAACATCCGCGTATTGGAAGAAGCAAAGACCACCAGGATTGAAGCGATGGTCCTCCACTATCAACGTGGACGTGGTTGTTCCAGTGTGCCTTCCCAGAATAATGATTCCATAGCACTTTGTCCCTCCAAAGCACTTTACATTTTAGGTCTGCTCGTATTTCTTTCCACAAACGCCACAATCACCTTTTCGTCCATGCTTCAGCACTATTTCAAATTTTAATTTATATTTGGCCTTCCCACAGTTTTAATTGTATGTTGTCTTATTGATAATGTTATATGTTTATTGTCTATGTTTTTATTTTAATTGCTTGTATTGTGATTATTGCTTGTATTGTTGTGTTTGGGCTCGGCCTCATGTAAGCAGCACCGAGTCCCTTGGGGAGATGGTAGCGGGGTACAAATAAAGTGTTGTTGTTATTATTATTATTATTATTACCGGCCACGTTGTCCAGATGCCCGACCACCATCTCCCAAAGCAATTGCTCTGCTCCGAACTCAAGAACGGAAAACAGAATGTTGGTGGGCAGGAAAAGAGATTTAAAGATAAGCTCAAAGCCAACCTTAAAAATTCTGGTATAGGCACTGAGAACTGGGAAGCCCTGGCCCTTGAGAGCTCCAGCTGGAGGTCAGCTGTTACCAGCAGTGCTGCAGAATTTGAAGAGGCACAAATGGAGGGTGAAAGAGAGAACCGTGCCAAGAGGAAGGTGCATCAAGCCAACCCCGACCGGGACCGCCTTCCACCTGGAAACCAATGCCCTCACTGCAGGAGAAGATGCAGATCAAGAATAGTGCTCCACAGCCACCTACGGACCCACCAGTACACTGATCTTGGAAGACTATCCTACTCGCCCAACGAGGGATCGCCTAAGTAAGTAAGTAAGTGACACTCTTAACTTAAAATGCTCTTAAGTTGGGATGTTCTTAAGTCGAGGCTCCACTGTAGTTTGGCAATGCAATAGGTTTGCCCTGAGATCTCTATTAAGTCAGAAAGACTGGGAAGGCACACAAGAGCTGTAGAGCTCATAGGGAAAGGAAGTCCCATAAGAGGTCCTGAGTTGCTGATGACTCAAGGAGGTGAAAGCCCTGCAATCCTTGGGTCCTGAAAGGAGTCTTTCAGGAAAGTCTCAAGACTTGTGGGACGAGGGCCGGGCCTGCCAATCAGCCTAAGCCTTGGGGGCCTCTCCCTCCCTCCCTCCCTCCCTACAGCCTGGCGGAGGAACTACGCCCTAGGTGGACAGCGCCCAAGACCGCAAGCAGCTTGCTCTAGCTTCGTACTTCTTGCAATCTCTTCCCACCCAGTCCAGGAAAAGGGTCCCTGAGCGATCAGGAAGCCCACCCTGATTTAAAAGGACGGGAAGCAGAGAAGAGGCTCCTTACCTGGTGGAGAAGGGTCCAGGAAGGTCCTTACTTCTGATCTCTTCTGGCGCAGCGTCCCTTACGGGTTTAGGAAGGAGGAAATAACAGCCCAGCCAAGAGGAAAGGGAGGCGGAGGAGGAGCTTCTTGGCCTTCCTCCTCCCTCTTTCTCCGGGTCGGCCCTTCCCTCCCTCCTTCCCCCCCTCCCCGGGGGCTGGAGGCGGAGAAGAGCTCGAGTTACACCAGAAGGCTTCGGAAAAAATGACAGGCGTTCGCTGCGACACCGCCTCTAAAAGGATTTCCCCATAGATATGCCTCTCTCTCTCTCTCTCTCTCTCTCTCTCTCTTTCTCTCTTTCTCTTTCCTTTCGCAGCCCTACAAGGCTGTAGTTGGACAGTGATGTTGTGTGCCCTGAAGTCAGGTTTCTTCCCCTGCTTATGGCAACCTCTGGTGGGGGGTTTTCTTGGACAGACTTTGCCATGTTACAACCTCCCTCTATGTGTATACAGTTCAGTACAGTCCAAACAGCACTACATGTGGCCCCCTTCACTGCTGTACAGAATAATCTATATAAATAAAAATGTAATGTTTGTTTGTGGTATTCACAGAACTCAAAAACCCCTGGATGAATTGGCACCAAATTTGGACACGATACACCTAACAACCCAATGTATGTCCTTCACTCAAAAAAATGCCATTTGGGAGTTTTAGTTGCTGGGATTTATAGTTCACATACAATCAAAGTGCACTCTGAACCCCACCAACGATGGAATTGAACCAAATTTGGCACACAGTTCTCCCATGACCAACAGAAAATACTGGAGGGGTTTGGTGGTGGGATGGTTCTGACACAACGATGGACAGGGTATGGGGATTTTATCTTTGAAGATCCCCACCGCTATCACCAATTGTACAAATGTGAATGTTAAGGAGGGAATTTATCTCATGCCTCAATTGTGTAAAAGAGTATATTATGGAGAAGGCCAATTATTGTTTGTAAATTAAGGTAACTGCCACCAACGTGAGGTATTTGAGGTACCACCGATGAGATCCGGCTCTACAGATGCAGATTAGTTGAGATGAGACGGTTTTCAACAAAAGTTAACAAGTTTATTGTGTACAAAGCTTATGGTTGCAGGCTGTTAAATAACTTATGGAACTTTGAATAACGTGGTTTATAATACAGACCACTCTTCCAAATAACACTGCTTGTGGCTAACTTTCACTGAGGTGAAGCTCTCTGGTGAACAATGTTTCACTGCTATAAATAGCCTTACAATTTGATCTTCCCTTGATCAAATCTCTGATCTCTAGTCCTTCCTTAACTAGGGATCTTAACTAGGCTTCCTTTAGTCTTCTTTGACTAAAGAATCTGGCCAGGTTTCCTTCTTCAGCCCTCCTAGACTGAAAAACACCAGCCGCTCACACCCAAGCCTCTTTCTCAGGCCTTTTCAAGCCTCAACTGCTGCTTTTTTTAAATGCACGTAACTTTTTCCTGCTTGGCTCCGCCCCTTCTCCCTCCATGAGCTAGCCAGCCTCGTCTCCTCGGCAACGCTCACTGTGGATTCAAACCAGATGACTCCAGTTTTAGCTACTGTTACAAACACAAATATATACTCTAACAGTTAAACATAAACATAATAACAATGACTTCTGCACAGGTGGGCAGTGTCCTTTGGTTTTGGAATTGTAGTCCACCTACATCCAGAGATCAAACAATGATGGATCTGGACCAAACTTGCCATGAATCCTCCATATGCCCAAATACGAACACAGATGGAGTTTGGGGGGAATATACCTTGACATTTGGGAGTTGTAGTTGCTGAGATTTATAGTTCACTTACAATCAAAGAGCATTCTAAACCCCACCAACGTTAGAATTGGGCCAAGCTTTCCACACAGAAGCCCCATGACCAACAAAAAATACTGTGTTTTCTGATGGTCTTTGGCGACCCCTCTAACACCCCTTTATGACCTCCGCAGGGGTCCCGGCCCCCAGGTTGAGAAATTGTGCCTTAAGGCCATCCAGTCCAACTGCCTTCACCAGGGCAAGAAAACACAACCAAAGCCCTCCTGATAAAGAGCCATCCAGCCATAGGTATAGATAGATAGATAGATAGATAGATAGATAGATATGAGTCACACACACATGTATGTATATGACAGAGATAGTATCAGAGATTTGAAAGGGACTCTTAAAGAAGGACAATTATATGTTGCATGTTCCAGAGTAGGCAAACCAGACAATCTCCACATCAACACTGCCAAAGAAACAGCAAGAAATACTGTTTACCCACAAGCATCACGAAATTACATATATTAGAAACCAACACTTTCTCATTACTTTATTTTCCAGATCACCAGACTGGGCCACAGCAACACGTGGCAGGGGACGGCTAGTAATAATAATAATAATAATAATAATAATAATAATAATATTTATTTATACCCCGCCACCATCTCCCCGATGGGGACTCGGAGCGGCTTACATGGGGCCAAGCCCGGACAACATATTGCAGCAATAAAATCAAAACATAAACAGCAAACAACAACAACATCATCAGAATTTTTTAAAAGTCATAAAATAACATTCTAATAAGCACAGTCACAGTAATGATAACAATGGGTGGGCCGCATGTAAAGGATAAGACAATTAAAAAGTGTAATTTTATTTTTATTTATTTATTTATTTATTTAGAGCATTTCTACCCTGCCCTTCTCAACCCCCTAGGGGCTGGTATGTAGCCAGGGGGGAGGCTTGAGGGGCTTCAGCCCCCCCCCCCCCCCCGGAAATTCTCATGGTAGTCTGCGAGAAGGCCTTACTGGTACATTATTTAAACCAGGGGTCCTCAAACTTTTTAAACAGAGGGCCAAGTTACAGTCCCTCAAACTGTTGGAGAGCCAGATTATAATTTGAAAAAAACATGAATGAATTCCTATGCACACTGCACATATCTTATTTGTAGTGCAAATAACACTTAAAAACAATATAATAATTAAAATGAAGAACAATTTTAACAAATATAAACTTATTAGTATTTCAATGGGAAGTGTGGGCCTGCTTTTGGCTGATGAGATAGGATTGTTGTTGTTGTGTGCTTTCAAGTCATTCCAGCCTTAAGTTGACCCTGAGCGAGGGCCAGGTAAATGACTTTGGAGGCCTGTATCTGGCCCTCGGGTCTTAGTTTGAGAACCCCTGGTGTATACAGTTCAGTACCGTCCAAACAGCACTGTATGTGCCCCCTTCTACACTGCCATACAAAATCTGCTTTGAATTAGATTATATGGTAGTGTAGACTCGTAATCCAGTTCAAAGCAGATAATGTGGACTATCTGCTTTGATAATCTGGATTATATCGCAGTGTAGAAGGGACCTGGTTAAAAGTAAAGATTTCCCCTGACATTAAGTCTAGTTGTGCCTGACTCTGGGAGGTGGTGCTCACCTCCATTTCTAAGACAAAGAGCCACCATTGTCCATAGACACCTCCAAGGTCAAGCAGCCAGCATGACTGCATGGAATGCCGTTACCTTTATTTATTTATTTATTTATTTATTTATTTATTTGCTATATTTCTATACCGACATTTTCAGCCCGGGGGCGACTCATGGCGGTTTACAGAATGGCACAGTTCAATGCCCATAACAATATAAAAATAGCTAAAACATTTAAACAGAGATAAAAATTCACTACATAATAATATCAATAAAAACATCATAAAACCATAACACCGAAGTGGTACGTATTGATCTACACATTTGCCTGTTTTCAAACAGCTAGGTTCCCCATAGATATGCCTCTCTCTCTCTCTCTCTCTCTCTCTCTCTCTCTCTGTGCTTTCGCAGCCATACAAGGCTGTAGGTGGACAGTGATGCTGTGTGCCCTAAAATCAGGTTTCTTCCCCTCTTTCTAGCTGCTTGCAAGAAGATCCAACAAGTCCATACTTCAGAAAATAAAGCCCAACTGCTCATTGGAGGGAAAGATAGTAGAGGCCAAGATGAAGTACTTTGGCCACATCATGAGAAGAAAGGAAAGCTTAGCGAAGACAATGATGTTGGGGAAAATGGAAGGAAAAAAGAAGAGAGGCTGACCAAGGGTAAGATGGATGGATGGGATCCTTGAAGTGACTGGATTGACCTTGAAGGAGAATTGGAAGGGACCACCAGGGTCATGTACATAAGTAAAGCACTACCAAAAGGTGACCACTTAACCTGTCGCGACCCAAGGAACACAGATTGTCTTAAACAGCAATTGAGATGCAAAACTTATGTTCAAAACTTCCAAAGAAGAACCTGAGAGAATGTGATCTGCCCAAGGTCACTCTGTGCCAGGCCCATAGCCAGGATTTTGATTCGGGGGGGGGGGGGGGCTGAGTTTGATTCGGGGGGGGGGGGCTGAGTCTGAGTGAAAGAGGGTCTACCCTAGCAAACCTTTTGTATCGTTACCCCAATACCCCCATGCATATGGGATATATTGAGCATGGTGATCAGATCATGATATGAATAAACATAACAGTTTAAATAATGCACCAGTAAGGCCTTCTCATGGACCACCATGAGAATTTCGGGGGGGGGGCTGAAGCCCCCCAAGCCCCCCCCCCCCCCCCCCCCCCGGCTACATGCCTGCTCTGTGCCTTTCCAAACGGGCCCCATATCCCAGGATGTGAAATAAGTTATTTGACTGTGAAACAGTTCCTACTTTCAATAGATCTTTCTAATGTTTTGCTGTAAGAGTAGAGATGTTTTTGAAACATTTCTTTTTCTTCCCTATATGTTTGTAACTTCAGTCCCCGAGTTACAAACATCTGACTTACAAATAACACATAGTTAAGAACGGGGGTGAGACAACAGGAAATGAGAGAACTTACCCCTCAGAAGGGAAATTCACTCCTGGAAGAGTTATTATGGGAAAAGGTGTTTTATCTGGAGCTTTATCACCAACCCTTATTTCCACAACAAGCTTTTTTTTCAAAATCCAATTATCACAGGGACAGAAAGTGAGGGGAAATCTTCTGAACAGGGACAGTTCAGAAGATTTCAGAGAGACAGTTGAACAAGCATGATAGGGTCCTCCCCACAATAGCAGATATTGAACATAGGATTGCACTGGAGAACATAGAGCAGTGGGTCATTGCCTACTGGTGCGCTGCGAGACCTAAAATAAGGTCCATGGC